TAGGATCATAAAGTGTTAGTTTTGGTTTTTATTGAAACATCTACTGAAGCAAAATGTAATTCTTAGTGTTAACACCTTAGTTCTACAAAATGCATATGTATGCGTTAATTTTTTGTTAAACTTTTGTTCTACATTGCAGATATGTATTCATTTTTTGATGAGTTTAAATGGAAATGTTTGTGGATTTGTTAGAGTTAAATGAAAACGTTACTACTTTAATTTCTTTTATATTTTGAATGTATTTTTTTATTTGTGTAATGATTTATAAACAAATTATAAATTAGATAAATTAAATCACTATGAAATTTATATGAAAATGTTATTTCATAATTCATTTTACATTATTAGTATTTTTTTAAATTATTAATGTATAGATGACCTCTCAATATCAAGAACGTTCTTCCATTAATGATTATAAGAAATGTAATTTGCGTAAATTAGATTGCACTTCACTTTTTTAAACTTACAATTAATTAATAACTCTTTAACCAAAAAAAAAAAAAAAGTCTCCAAACTGCCAATATCAAACCTAATGTACTAAAACACCTCCTACATCTTAACAAGGTTGGAGCATAATAGAGGTCTTGCTAGTGCTACTCCTCGGTTCATCAAGCTACAAATGATATTACTGAGAACAAATTTCAAGCCTGAATACTACAAACCTTACTAGAGAGCAAGGTAGAGCTTACAGATCAATAGGCACAACAGCTGTTATTAGAAATCTAGAAAGAGGGCTCCAACTTCTAATTAGCATAAATGCCTCTTCCATTGTAGATGGGTTTAAGTGTTTAACACGGATGGTTGAAGAATGAATGAGATAACAAGTAACAACACGACCTGAATTAATCCCGTGATAGCTCAATATCCTGATGGAGCTTCAGAATTGTCTATTGCAGAATACAGAGGAAATGGATTGGGTCAAGAAGGGGGAGGTCAGCTTGAGAGAATTCCTCTTTGCTTCATCAACTGGGTGGGAATCGACAGTGATGAAGAAGGAATTACCACGGAATGAAGCTAAGTACTCCATAGAAAATTAAAAACTCTTCAATGAGATCGGCTCCATGCATTTATCTTGTGCATATGATCCTTCTATTGTGTTAGATATATTATATGGAAATGCAATACATGCTAGCAAGTGCTGAGAA